TCATTTCCATTAAACCCTTACCGCTGGCCATTGTCATACCTCCATGGGTTTGCAGTCCAATGTATAACCCGTAGCGAGTACTCAGTCCCATGCGGCGCTCAATCACCCGCACGCACATTAATATAAGAAGGTTATAACAAGGGTAACGTGCAGAGAAAATCAGGTCATAATCAGGGAGGGATAATAATTAGATAATATCAATTTGAATCAGCGGGGAATAATCAAATGGAGAAAAGCCGTTTAGATCAAAGAGAAGAATTAAGAGGTGAATTCCGGTTGAAATCAACGAGGGCGCGATTGATTGGAAAATGTTAAATATTAAAATAATCAGTTGTTTTAATTTCTTTTTATCATTTTTAATTTTATTACTTAGTTTTATTTTCATCATCAAATTAGATAAAATTTAAGGCCTCTTTCCTCGCCAACTGGTCAGGGTGGAAAGGATCGCTCGAAGGCTTGCAAGCATACCTTCGCCCCTTCGGCTGGCTAATTCAAAGATAGCCTCAGAACAGACGGAAAAGGTAAACGCCAGGCACGGTAGAGGCGGCTGCCCAAGTTATCCCATTTAAGGGTTAGTGCCAGCGGTCAATGCAGGGAATTCCAGGGTTCATCTTAGGACCCCTAATTTTTTCCGACAGTTCTGACAAGAGTACCCGAAGAATCTCAACTGGTTGTTCAGTTGAGGGCCCGATTCCCTTTATTTCGGCTGGCCCGAAGAATCTCAATCGGTCGTTCAGTTGAGGGCTCGATTCCCTTTATTTCGGGTGGCCGACCGGTCTGCGGCCGCCTTACACCGCTACTACTACTGCACTCCTACTCCTACCGCTGCTCCTGCTACTGCCACTGCTACTGCTACTGCTACTGCTACTGCTACTGCTGCTGCAACTGCCACTTCTACTGCGATTGCCGCTGCCACCACCACTGCTGCTGCTGCTACAACCACTGTGCTACTGCTACTTCCACTTCTACTTCTACTGCTACTGCTGGACCATGACCACTGCTGCTGCCACGACCACTGCTGCTACTGCTATGACTACTGCTGCTACTTCTACGGCTACTGCTACTGTTATGACCACTGCTGCTACTGCTATGGCTACTGCTATGTCTACTGCTGCTCCTGCTACTGCTCCTGCTCCTTCTCTCACTCCTCCTCGCGCTCTTACTGCTCCTACAACTGCTACTCCTACTGATTCTACTACTGCTACTCGTACTGCTCCTACTACTGCTACTCCTGCTTCTATTACTACTACTACTACTACAGTCTTCAGCCAAATAGAGTGGCCGGTCATTATGGCCACATCTGGACTGAAACTGGCCCCAGATACAGCCACAATGGAAGGGCATTCTATTTGGGCGAAGAGAACACCTCCTTTTGTCTTTGTTTTGTCCACGTGTCCTAAGCATGTGTGTGTGTGTGTGTGTGTGTGTGTGTGTGTGTGTGAGAGAGAGAGAGAGAGAGAGAGAGCTACAACAGCTACTACTACTGTTATTGCTGCTACTACGGTAGTACCACCGTCCTTGTCGACCTGCTCTTTTGTGTTTGTGGATGGGCGTTTGTGTATGCGGGCTTGCGTGTGAGTGTGTGTGCCTTTGAATGGCGCGCGTGTGGGTGTGTGGGTGTCTGTCTTCTTGTGCTCTCTATACAGAACTCCACAGAAAAAGGGGGAGGGGTGCAGAAAATTGTGTTCCTGCATCTCCACAAACCACGTCCGGATGCAGACAAGTCCTCTCTTTTTCTCTCTGTGTAACAGTACGTGAAGGAAAGGCATCGGTTTTTGACACCGACATGCACGTCCACGCCAGCCCTTTCCCGTGCTGTGCCGCCCTCCCTTCCCTCCACCCTTCAGCCCGCCCTTGAGCCAGACTGCTCTTTCCCCTGCCCTTCTGCCTGCACTTTCCCCTGTCTTTCCACTTGCACTTCTGGTCCCCCTGCCTGCCCGCTCCCCCTTCTCTAACAGTGTGCGACGTCTGCCACACTGGTGCCTGCCCTTCACCCCCACCCTTCCGTCCACACTTCTTCCCTCTCTCTCTCTATGGTTACGGGGATGCAGGTAGGTTCTCTCTCTCTGTTGCATACTGTAACGTGCGGACCAGAACAAGAACCGACCTTTCAATACAAAGTATAAGATAGCACAACGGAAGACTTAGATACCAATGATCCGCACAATCAATAGTGCAATGCAGCCCCGAAAATACATCATCATCATGGTGTGAAGGGGTCTGGCGCTTCACTCAAGAAGACTGCGCCAGCCCCAACCATACACAGACGAAGGAGGTGGGGTTAGACGAAGAAGAGGGGAAGATGGGAATGTAGTCAACACCAAGTGTTCAGCACAGGCCCAAATAGTCCCTCGTCAAAATGTCTGAATCCCAATGTCGAGTCTGGATCCAATGTCGTCAAGTCTCATGTCACAACTCTCTCTCTGTAGTAGTCCGCTGATACTGAGAAGTCAGGTGGTGAGAGGGGAAGAAGAGATGGTGGACTTAGAAGAGGAAGAAGAAGAACTCTCTCTCTCTCTGTAGTAGTCCGCTGATACTGAGAAGTCAGGTGGTGAGAGGGGAAGAAGAGATGGTGGACTTAGAAGAAGAGGAAGAAGAACTCTCTCTCTCTCTCTCTTTCTCTTTCTCTCTCTCTCTCTTGCTCTCTCAGTCTAGTACTAACCTGTGAAGTTGGCGCCTTGATGCAGGTACCTCTAAGATGGAGCTGGAGCTATGGCGCCACAGGTAAGTACTACTGGCCTCCGCCAGTCTCTCTCCCAACTCTACGATCTACCACCTACCAGCGCCCAGCGCTGAAGACTACTCTAGCTATGGGCGCCCAGCGTTGAAGACTGCAGCTAGCGCTAATACTGCCTAGCGCTGAAGACGATTGCAGCGCTCCTCCTGAGTGCTGCAGCCGAATCCTGAAGACTACTCGTCCTGAATGTCCAACTACCTACCCGTGAAGTGCATGGGACTTCCTATGTACTACCGGGTGTGCCTCCTGAGCCGTGCGAGCAGTTCAGGAGGCTGCTCTTGCCAATGCCGAAAGGAGGCAAGGGCTGCAGCTGCAGCTCCTGCTCGAGCTGGCGTGGGAACAGGCCAGAAATAGCCTGTTACGAAACCCAGTTTTCGTGCCCGAGTCTTAGGGAAGGTCGAAACAAATGAGGGCCTGAAAATGGCCCTCCGTTTCAGGCTGGACCCCTCTCTCTCCCTCCCCCCCCCCTCTCTCCGCCTCTCCTTTGCCCCTGAGGCTTTATACCCCTGCCTTCTCCCCGATGCTGTATACCCCTGCCCCTCCTCCCCCACCCTACTCCCTGCCCTCCGAACAGCCTCATCGGAGCGACGGGCGTTATAATGGGTTGTCTTTCTGGCGTTGTGAACAACAGTCTGGTTGAAGTGATATTGAGGGAGGTTGACGCTGTGGTCCGCGGACACCTCTCGGATCCACTACAAATGCCATCTCTACTACTGTCAAACTGGTGTAATTGGGGGCTGCAGACACCTGGGATGGTGGCTCGTCGTCGGCAACACTGCGAGATTACATAAGATCCAAAGCAATGGCTGGGCGGGTTCCCGGGGGGCACTTGGCCACTTTCTACTGAGAGCTGTTCAAAGGGTTGGGTAACATGCAGCGATTGATGCTCCAGAGCAACAACTTTACGGCCTGATGCCTGGACACTCATTGTGCTGCGATGTTGTATTGGAGGGACGCTGGACCCGTTTTCCAGCAGGTGCTGCTCCCCACCAATAGATGGAGCCTCCCGAAAGGTGCTAGGGGTGCCTGCTTTATCAGTGCGCCTAGCATCCATCCGGGCTGTGTTTATAAAAGAAGAAAAGAAAAAAAAGAAAAAAAAAAAGAAAAAGAAAAACTCTGGGTCTGAAAGACCCAGAAATAGGCTGAAACGGAGTAGCCTGCAGGCCCTCGTTTTTCAGCTTTCAGGCTGAAACGACCGGGGCCTGTAAGCCCTAAGTTTTAGGCTCTTAGGCTGAATGTTCGGGAGGGGCCCTGCAGGGCCCGTGT